TCCCTTGATTCTGTTCACACAGCATGATTAACCTTTTCTGGCCATTTACACGCTCGAGAATGAACAAGAAACTTTGAATGAACATCCATTTCTGTCACACAATAAAATGTATGCGGACCAGCCCCCCCTCAACTGAGCTGTTATACCAAACAGGTCAGCCAATGCAGCTTTTTTCCTTTCAAGAGCTGCAAAATGCCCTTGATTTCTTGTGGACTCTGCTAAGCACTAGGGCTTCACTAATCCAGTCTCCAGAGCTTTGAGAGATCTGGTTAAGTCCCTAGTGACATTGAGAGTGTGCTGATGACAGAATATTTCAATGTGTACCTTTGCCATGTCCCACCATTGTTGAAGTGAGGTAAAAGATGTTTTCCATGATCTAAAAACAAAAAAGTAAAAAAGTAAATGACTGTCTGACATTGGCATCCTCTAAAAGTCCAGTGTTAAAATGCCAGTATGCACTCTGTGGTTTAATGTTACAGAGAGAGGAAGAGAGAGACAGAGAGAGAGGAAAGAGAAAGTGTGGCACTATTTTCACATCTGTTACCACTGGAGTGTGACACTGATCACGTGATCAGGCTAATTAGTAGGCCAGTGACCGATTTCTGTAGTGCCTTTAACATTACTTACTTTGATGTCCTCAATGCTGCTGAAAGATTATTAGCCTGCAATGAAATTATCATAGCTTCTTTGGCATTACTTAGATGCCATGAGGGTAAAGACTGTAGTCTCTACAAATTGTTTTGCTTTCAGCTTTTTTAGCATTAAAAGACAGTATAGTCCAAGACTGCTGTAAAGCCTGTCGCCTCACAGGCTGGTAAGAAGACCAATGAACATTTCACGCTGTAGCTTGTTCCATAGTACTCAGTCATGTGCCTTCAAGACTGCTACATGAAAAAGGCCACCAGCTCACAGGCTGATAGGAAAGACTGATTGATTAGAAACTTGATTAGAAGGCTAATCATTTCATATCACAGCTTCTATGATTGTTGTATTAGCAGTCTTTATTTAATGTCAGACATAGTTTTACATATGTGATGAATCCATAAGTGACTGCATTTTTTATTTAATATCATGCATATATGGATATTAAACTGTGCTAACAAAGTATGCAGAGAAACAGATGGACTACAGTCTGTAATTGCAGACATACAAAGTGAAACTATATGGTAAGTGGAGCTGGTAAAACGGGGAATGAGTGTATATACAAAGTAGGTGTAGTTAATGCAGTGGCTGGTCAGTGTATAATGCTATAAATCAGGATATATATATTTGTGAAATATATGCCTTTATTTTCCAGCAATGGAGGCAAACTGGATTGCAGCAGTGGAGAACTCTCTTCGAAAAGAAACAAATCATAAAGTAACGTAAAGTAAGAGGACAATTCAAAAACTGTCTGGTGTGAGTCGAGATGCCTTTGTGTCACCACAACTGCACTACCTTGAAGAAAATGGGCTTGGCAAACTTGTGGGCATGAAGAAAAGGCATGACAGTCAGTTTCAATGGTGATGTGAAAGAGCCAGTCACTGCAAGGGGAAGTCTACTGGACACCCCCAAAAAACAAGAGCCAACAGTTGCGGGGCCTATGTATCTTTCACATCTGTAAGCAACAACTGTTACAACGGGTGCGTTATACGACTGATGAGCCACCACTCTGGACATGATCCTAACAGTCCCTTAGAGAGCAGTGTTAACTGGATTCACCCTGATCTCATTGACTACATTTATACCCTCATTCAGCAGGGTCATACAAATGCTGCTCCCACAAATGCTACACCCACAGCAAATCGTATCTCAAGGACAGACGGTACCACGTAACACCTGTTGATTTATGCTGTCATCATTAAGTCTCCTCAAGGTCGTGGAGTCCCAGTGGCCTTCTTCATTTTAAAAGTCTTCAAAAGCTGCAAGAGTCTGCCAGTCCCTTTCAACCAAGGTAATACCAAATGGTCCAATAATGGGGTACATTACATATGGAATAAGAAGACCATATTTCTGCTTTGAAATGTATATTTAGCATGATATGTAATATATTCTGATGGTTATACTTAAATATTGCATACTTTTTGTACTTAAAATTACTGGATAACTCCACAGTGACAGTTTTGACTCAAGTATTCCTTCTGTCTTTGAGCTAAATGAAACCTGGAAATTCACCAGTTATCTGGTTCTAACTCCTGCACTTGCTACGTGAAATACATTTAAAAGGGAATTCCACAACTTCTCTGCAAAATGAAATCACAAAGACACACTTTTGGTGTGTTTTGATGTGAAACTGTGCATTGTAGAGAAACTTAGTTACTCAGCTTTCTGTACAGTGCTGGTGATAGGAACCAGGGTTTGTGATGTCTACAATGCAAATATAGCCATTTAATATTTACTGTCCAAAATGACCAGGGAAACTACACATGTCTTCGGAGATTTTAGATATTATATTCATAAAGGTAAAATAGTGGTACATTTGAAAAAATACATTTTGAGTACTATGAATAGTTTTAAAATTAATTCTCACCAAAACCTGTCTGTGAAGAAACTTTTTATTCGTTTAGACATTCCTATCATCACCACTTCTTTTGTGTTAATAGATGCCTCCGTAACTGATGTACAAGACATAAGTCTCCAAAGCTGACTATAAAGACTGCCACCTTCTAGGGTAATAAAAAGAAGTTAGAAGTTATCATTTAGAACTTGGTAGAACTCAGTCATGTGTCTCTAAGGCTGATGTAAAAAGTATCATTTTAAAAGGCTGATATGAAAGACTGCCATCCTCCTCTAGGTTGATTAAAAGATCAATGATTATTTCGTGTTGCAGTTGTAGTGTGGCAGCTGTCAGGTGCCAATGCTGATGCACAAGACACTATACTCCAAGGCTGATGGTAAAGACCATGACCTCTCAGGCTGATAAGGCGGCCAATGGTCATTTCAAGCTGTTGCATCTTTAATAATACTCAGTCATGTACTTTGAGGCTGATATTAAAGGCACAGTCCTTATAGGCTTATAGTGCCGCCACCTCCTGATAAAACAGACAAGACTTCATATAGTTGCTTTGATAAAATTATGTGCCTTCAGGGCTGACTTGAAAGGCACCATATTTTTAAATACTGATAGGAAAGACTCCCACCTCCCAGGCTAATTAGAAGGTCAACAATCATTTCATATTGTAGCCTCTTTTGCACTCATAAAATCAGTTCTGATGAGTTTCTTTAGAATGGAGCGTTTCACATCAAACCACATGGAATTTTACATCTTATTCAATTATGCTAAACTTCTGAAAAATCTATGAAAGTCTCCTTTAATAGTAAGTCATCATCAGCATCAGTTGTATCTTCTCATATATATAAAATGATGTATTTTCAGGTGTGTCATGGTAGACAGAGACCTCAAGGCCTCAATGCAGTACAGAAAGTGTTCCCACACTGTATAATATTGATGTGCTGATTTCATGTTCTTCAGGTAACATTCTCTCATAACCACATAATAAGAGGAGTTAGTAGGACTGTGCACATGTATTTTGATAAGCACATATTTTTGTATGTTCTATACAGGCAGTTCATCACTGGATGCAACATCCAGCTGTGAAAAATTAGGTCATCAGGTCAATGATAGCTCTCAAAGAATGTGCAACAGTGAGTTATAAACATAGTTGTCTCAAAAATGTTTTGTCTGTAGATGGCCCCTTAAAACTCATGTTAGTCTTCATTGGGTTTTTTTGGAATCAGACTTTGAAGAGAGATCAAACCAAGTGGTAGTCAGCGTTGATGAAGTCACAGGCGCCACAACCATCTGAAACTATTTAAAAATGCAGTGGTTTCAACACTGTAAGATGTGGGCCAATTTTGGAAGAAGAGTATTGCACCAAATCAGTGAAACCAATAACTTGGCTGGGAGGTGTGGATATGTCTGTAGTATACTGCAATGGTTACCAATCCTGTTCCTGCATATTTCAGTGTTGCTCTAACACACCTAATCTAGGTAACTTGTAACAAAGCTATAAGTGCTTCCTAAGTTGAAGTGGGCATGTAAGAGCATGAAAAAATGTGAACTACAAAGAGAACTTCAGGAGCGTGTTTGGGAGCCACTGGTTTAATAGTTTTACATTTTAATTTTGTGCTGTTCAGTCATTTTACAGAGTTTGTGTAAGGATAGTTTAGCTTAATATTTTGACTTTAACTTCATTAAATGTAACAATATTTAAATATTTAAAACATTTAAAAATATTATTGTCTGATGTGTTGTTCTGTGTATGTCTGTGTGCTCAAGAAGGTAACTGTGGGTAAAACATGTCCAGTCGTTTACAGATGATATTTAAATGGCAAACTACTTTCTGTAAATGCTTCCCATTTCCTTCATTCCTTCATTTGACCTTCAGTACATCAGCAGATTTTTGAGCATCTGCTTTGTTTAAGATTCTTTTTCAGCATGAAATACCAGTTTTGTCAAGGATATGCAAACAGACGTGTAGATGAACTGCTTCATCTTCTGAGCGAGAAGGTGGTGATGTACTACTACAGGTTTGTTGACATAATACTAAACCGTTCTGTTTTGAATTACAATATTTTACCCAATATTCACATTGTTTTAAATATGCTTTGTCTTTAAGCTACCTGGAAGAACTCAAAGCTGACCGGATAACTGAGTCCAAGAAACCGGACGTAGCTGAACTGGTATCTAGGATGAAAAGCAAAGGCTTGCATGACAAAGTTGTGTTTCAGTCTGCTGGCCAAATATCAGTATCCTCTGAAACCAGTGAGGGAAAGTGTTATTGTGTTGATCTGCTCACAATGCAATGTGAATGTTATTGGGCTGAAAGGGGAAAGCTGCAAGCACATTGCATTGGCAAAGTGAGGAAATGGTTGTGGACATAGATGAGAGCAGGACAGGATTGGTCCGCTGTCTGTCAGAGCAAGGCAGTTATGAATGGGATGGAAATTGAAATTATTTGATTGTACATCACAGCCAAAGTTTGGGAGTTGTAAACTTGCAAACAAAGCAGTGCACATGTCTTGCAAACAGCCTAAAAGAAATGTGTGTGTGCCTTAGAGTTTCGGAGATCCTGGTCCTGCAGGAAGGTCCACAAGCGGAGAACAGTCAGTCATCTGAAAGCGTATCGTGAAACTGTGAAAGAAATGATAATGGAGTTGTACAACTGGTGTGAGAGCAATGAGTTCTGTGAAACTTCAGAGTTACTGTCTGCAGTAAAGAGAGTTTATCAGCTTGCTTTTGGACAGTACACGAGCTAAAAAAGTGCAAAAATGAAGCCATACACATGGCCAGTAGCCTTACATTTGTCTACTGCCAGTGTTGACTTCTGTGTACCTTGCATTTGATGTCTCCAGTGATCACTGTAATAACACTCGTACAGCCTTAAAAGCACTGGATGTTGATGCCTGGCCTTCCTGTTGACATCTAGTTTCTCCAACAACATTCTTAACAGCAGCAAGTTAAGATACATGAATTAAAAATGTAAAGAGAAATGAAAAGAGATTCATGTTATTTTGCAATTATAGAAAACTTTATTAATATAAATATTCCTTTGTTCTTAAGGAAAAATGCAAGCAGAAGAGTTTCTGTTTGAATGTTGAAAAAAAATTCAGTTCAATGTATTTGGAGTGTTGGAACTCTCCTGCTTAATCTTAATACAATAACAAAATCAAACAAGACATTTAACATGTATAACTATCTGAAAATGTGTGGAGGAACATGCTTGCAACAGGTTACCTTATTTAAATGAAGAAAAATGAATGACTTTTGAAAGTCATAAACTTGGAAGTATTAATAAAACCTATATACGTTCGAATAATTTGCATGTCTGTGTGTTGTTCACAGCCACTTTCAAATTAGCTGACAGAACGCCTGTTTCTTTTGGATTTCATGGTTAGAAAACAATACACGGACTGATCAGATAACACCACACACACGTTATTTGACAAATAAACATAATCACATCTTCTATGAAGATGAGTTATAAGGTAGATGACTCCAAGACAGACAAGGATACCATTTAAATGTGATTGTCTCTGAGCCTGATAAATTCTTAAACCTGTACGCTTATTTGTAGGTCAGTTAACATTCTCACACACTCTCTTTACAGGCACTAAATATTTAATACATCACATGTAACTCACCTCTGAGCTTTCACTTTTTCTCTCTTCACATACACCTAAAAACACAAGTAGCATTCTCAAGCATTAAATATTTAAAGTGTTTCTAATCAGCCTGTGAGGTGGCAGTATTTTCAATTAACCTTTCAGCATGGTGCTTTTTACATCAGCCTTGAAGTAAATCAGAACATAAATGTAAAGCAACAATGTGAAATAATCAGCCTTGGAGGCATTTATGCAAGTCATTTTAAATAAATTACAATAAATTATCATTGCCTTTCTAATCAGCCTGGAAAGCCAGAGATGTTCTCCACCAGCCCTCTGAGGCTAGTTTACTTCACATCAGCCTGGAGGGAATATTACTAAGTAATACCAAATAAGAGATCATTGACCTTCTAATCAGCCTGCAAGGTGGCACTATTTCTATATCAGCCTTTCAACATGGTACCTTTTACATCAGCCTTAAAGTTAATCAAACATAAACAATGTTAAGCAACAATGTAAAATGATCACTGGCTATCTAATCAGCCTTGGGGGCATCTTAAGTAAGTCATGTTAAATAAATTACAGTAAATTTTCCATTGGAAGTGATTATTTTAACAAAGTGAAATAATCACTGGCCTTCTACTTAGGCTTGTGGCTTCAATCTTTACCATCATCCTTTAAGAGCGCTCCAATTTTACCTCATCGTAAGTATATTCTAACTCAGAAAAAAGCCAGAGCAGCTTTAATATATAAATATCATGCATAAATATCTTGTACAATTTGTTTCATCAGCCTTTGTAAAGTGCAGTTACATCAGCCTGGAAATCATCTAGGTATTTCCAGTATCTGACTTGGAGGCAAGTACTCCGTACATTACAGAAATTTGATAAACTCTGAAACAGCCATAGAGCTGAACTTCTAAATCAGCCTGTTTCGTGTCACTTGTGTTGCAGTAAGACTGAAAGGATGCATATTTTCCTTTTCAGCTTTGGAAGCATTTTACAATAACATTCTGACCTCACTAAAGAGACACCAGCGTTTTATTTATATGAAGGACAGTCCTGTTGTTGGTTTTATTCCTCTCAATTTCAGCACATCAACGCTGAATCTGGCATGCTGCTCTGTTAGCTTGCTAACTAGCTAGCCAAGCTGCTAAAAACACAGAGCTGCTGCTCTATTTAGCTCTGCAAACACAGATAATGAGTAGTTTTCAGTCATTTTTACTGATATTTCCAACAATGCAATCGTATTTACAGCTGACTTTACGTTACAAACAATATGTGTTTATGTTTATAACTTACCAGACAAGCAGCAGCAGCAGCACCACCACCAGCAGCAGCAGCACCACCACCGATTTTGAATCCCAGCGCGGCTCCGTGATTCCGCGACCTCATTGAACTTGAAGGCGGAGCTGTTTGACGATGCTGTTATTTGATTGGCTGCGATCGACGGGGCGGGATGCAGCCTGGAGGGCTGAGCCAGAGCCTGTTTATGAGGAGCCTGGCCACTTCCTATTCCCCCCGTTATAACAAAACAGGACTGCTGAACAGCAGAGGGCGCCCGCGAGCGAGTCCTCAATGAATGGGAGTGAATGGAGCTCAACGGCTAAAAACGAACAGTTAAAATAGTTTCTAATCACTGAACCAGAACTGTCCTTTAGTTTTAGACAGTAGAAGGATGAATTTCACTAAATAAACAAAGAAATCTCACCTGTATGTTTCCTTTATTCTACAGCAAACGGGGTTTGGGCAGCAGGAGGCGGGCTTTACTGCTAGAGCGTGATGATTGATTGGCGAGCGGAGCAGCTCATGAACGTCATGTACGTCATGAACGTACATGAGGCGCCGTTTTAAACTCCTATAACTCGAGTTTAAAAGCTCTTAAAATATAACAGCGGTGTTAAAATGTTTCATGCTGCTCTGTGTTCAGGAAATGATCGTATTCTTTTACATTAAAAATGTTTAAGCATTTATAAAGTATGATTTTGCTCAAATGCTCCATATCAACCCATTCATTATGGACTCGCTCGGGAGCGCCCTCTAGCGTTTGAGAAAACCAGATGACATTGCAGAGTGGGAATTCTCCTCTCTACAAGTTCTCTGGCTGAGCAGCCTGTATGTACAAGTTTAGGGCGAACTTCTCCATTGTGCTAAACGGAAAGAAAACAGCTTTAAGCTGACGCCATCAGAGAAGAGGAGCTGTTTTTACTGTGCTGGATTTCACAGAGTGAGTTTATTAAGTATGAATATTCAGTGAGAATATGAATGAATATGGTAATGTGGAATATGCTTGTACAGTTCAAGGTGGTCTGTGTGTTTGTATATATGGATCCTTTAGTTCAACTCTGTGGGGGATTAAACTAACAGTAATGCAAGGAAGCAGACACTGAACAGGGCCTGGCCTGGGCTTCTGGAGCTGCAGCCCTGAAAACTTCTAACCAGACCAGAGCTTTGTTATCTAACAAAGTTTATGATAGTGATGTTTTTTTTTTTATTTTTCATCATTATGAAACAAATCAAATTATCAAGCAAATGTACAGACACATTAGGAATTTACGGCATTGTCTGCAGAGGACGATGAACAGCCTAGTTTGAGCTTAAAGGATGGTGAAGTTCTGATTCTCCATTCAAACGCAAACACCACTCATCAAAATAAGACCTGAACATGTGCACAGTTCTGTTCAAGTTCTTCATTCTTTTTACCATTTTTACAAAACAATCACACACTTAAGTATGTCAGTAAAGGTGTTATTACACTGATTATATTCTTAAAAAATGTCTCTAGCTAGACACATCAGTGAGTTCAGACAACACAGAATATGGGTAGAAATATTTCTTTGCCCATTAACGAGTAACACATTTTAGGTTATGCTCGCAAAACGGCCTGGGAAGCAGGCAAGTCACTTCCAACAACACAACTCTTAGTTACCTTTAATTTTTTTTCAAGGTTAAATCCTTTAAGCCTCTGAGTTAATCTTAATTACTGTATTAGTTAATCTTAGTCACTCTCTTTGAAGGATTTGAAGTTTAAATCTCTCCTGTTTTGTATACTTTTACTTATTTTTATAAAATTTATTAGTTGTTGCTGTATTACCACCATAAATTATACAATATTTTAACAGATTAGCAATGCAATAAAAACTGTTAAATAGTGATTTTCCTCTTTTTCTTTTTTTTTTTTTGGTTTTATTACTGAAATTTATGTGTATTTTTTACATAGTATTATTATTATAATACATTGATAAAGCAACATAACTTCACTTAAGAATAAAATGACTGTAAGAACAAAAAATGTTAAGGTTTAATTACAATAAAAGGGTATTTAAAAGCACTGGATTTGATTATTATTTTGAAGCAATGCAGAATTTAGAAAATTCAACATTCTACATCTTTAGACATCTTAGGATATTACTATGGTCAAGACAGTCTGTGTCTGTAGATGTGCCTTAAAGGCATGTTTTCATGACTCAAGGAGTTGAGTGGGTCTAAAGACTTGTCTTAGGGTGTCTCTAGATAAAGTCACAGCTGGATGGTCATACTAATATGATTATAATGAATATGTATGGAAAATGTTGAACTGCTGTTATATCTAGTACCACTCTGGAAGAATCAAACTGTGAATGACACCAAGGTAAAGAACAAAACAAAGCCATGCTTACCTGCTCTGAGTCGAAAGTGGAATTCATTCTTAATAGCCACTGCCTTACCCACAGTTAGTGCTTACAAATAATGTTTCCAGGTTATAAGCTGTTAAAAATGGGCATTAGCTCCCAGACTTTACAGCAAAATGCAATGAAATGCTGTAACGTATTGTAACTCTGCAATACTGTTAAATTACTGAAACCAATAAAAAAATTGCAGTTTTATTGGATTCAGCAAAAATTACCACCAATTATGCATCGATAACAAGCAGGTTTTTTTTCCAAAAGCTAGTGTTTCTAGTATTGCTGTGATTTAAACTTACAATCTCCCACAGATGGTTTGAAAGCTTAGCCAAGTGTACAATTTTTAGGCCCCTCTTTCTTTAGAATCAGGACCAGAAGGCCAGCCTTGTAGCATTGATCTCTGTTTCTTCGTTGTGTGCACAGGTTACAGACGGCAAGCTGACCCGTTCAACATAGAAAATGGGCGTTTTTATATAGGCTGGCTCTGGCACCATTGCCAATTGGATACAGAAGCAACACCTGTTCTTAAACTATACATGGGCAGCCAGGAATAACTGTTCACAATGTTCCCATTGTCCTCCCAGGTAGAGCTGACATAAAACATACACAGATCACATACATGTTATAACACATAACACTGAACATAATATTACATATAACGCATATAATTCAGCAGATCCTTCACAGATGTGCATTTATGAACCCCCAAAAAAAAGCATATAACATGAACATTAAAAAAAGCTTGTTCTAACCTTTTTCAGTGGAAAGAACGGTTGAAAAATCTGATGAAATGATTTAACTTAAATACGTTAAGTGTAAATTGGATCTGGTCACAAAATTTCCATATTGGTCAGGCCCTAGTGAAAAACAAAGTGAACTGGCCCACATTAATTGCATTCAGCAGATTCCTTTAAACAAGAAATGGTCTTGCCGCTGAAGGACACCTGTAGTTCTGTAGCTCTCCTGTAGTACATGTTCAGCTTTTTCTTTTTAGTCACCAGAACCCTCTATTATACATCATTCTATTGTCTGTCTTCATTTCCAGCTATAGAAGATGGCAAACATTCCAGAAGTGTTGCTGGACACTCTTGAAAACTTGGTGCAAGACGACCTGAAAACATTCCAGTGGCATCTGATTAGAGGTGTGAAAGGATTCACCCCCATCCAACGGGCTCTTCTGGAGAAGGCAGACAGACCTGACACTGTGGATAAGATGGTGCAGAGATATGGACTTGGAGCTGTAGAGATCACACTGGCTATCCTGAAGAAGATAAACCAGAACCACCTGGCTGAGGAACTGAGGACCAAACTCGAAGACGGTAATGAAGCAGTAATGAAGCAGTAATGGTGTAGAAAAATATAGTTATAGGCCACTGTAAGGGGGGTTTGTGAGATTCAGTTTAATACTGCAGTTAATAAATGCTACCCCTCTGGGGGGAAAGCTGTTAAAATGTCTAGTTGTGCTGGACTTAACGGGCCAGAGTCTGTCGGAGTTGGGTGGAAGAGGTGATGTCTAGGATGAGAGGAGTCTCTGTAATCTTGCCAGGGCTCTTACTGACCCTGCTGTTGCACACAAGCGTTTATAAAACCAATCCCCAAAAAAGCCGAGACAGTTTGTGAAATGCTAATAAAAACATAAAACACAGATTAGTAAATTGTATTTGATCTGTATTAAATTAAAAACAGTATAAAAACACAATAAAAACATCACTGCTCTTTGTAAATATGCTCATTTCAAATTTGGTGCCTGCTCATTTCCAAAAAGTTGAGACAGGAGCATGTTTATCACTGTGTTACATCACCTTTTCTTTTTAAAACCCTAATAATCATTTAGGGACTGAAGACCCAAACTGATCCATTTTTGACAGCAGAATGTTTTGCCATCATTCTCTTAAACATGTCTTTAGCTGCACAACCATATGGAGCTTTCTTTGTTGTATTTTGAGATTAATAATGTGACACATTTTAAATCAGAGACAAGTCTGGACTGCAAGCAGGTCAGTCTAGTCAGCTACACTCTCTGATTACGCAGCCATGCTGATGTAACACATGCAGAATGTGGCTTAATGTTGTCACCTTGAACTAGGCATGGGCGTCCCTGAAAAAGATATCATCAAGAAAGCAGTATACATTGCTCTAAAGTGTATACATCCGTACTGGTGTTTTCACAGAATGCAAGTAGCCCACTAAAAGATCCCCGATACCATGACAGACAGTGGATTTTAAACTGTATGCTGGTAACAATCTGGATGGTCCTTTTCCTGGTTTACGGAAAGTGTATTTTGTGGACAAGAACAGGCAGAAATACACTGTAACATTTTTGAATATGTTACAATATCACAAAGTTTTTGAACCAAGCTGGGGTCCGTCCTCTTCTCTTTGGGCACACTTTATATGTAATATTATAATTGGTATTAAGTCAATGGTGAGGTAACCATCATGTACGGTGCCAGGACAGGAGTGAGACTTGTTTTCAGACCAGGAGTTACGCAGATCGGCTAAAATGACAAACAAATCTGCTGATTTCTGCATGATCCTCTATGCACTACACATGATTGTGTTTTCTCTGTTCAGCATAAGGAGCTGGCAGGAGTCAAGGGATATTGATGTTTCTATTGACCCAGCTAAATAATCGTTACTAAAATCGATTTTTTTTCTGTTTTTTCTTTCTACTCTCCACTCTCAGGTGAAAAAAGAAGTGAAGATGTAACTGGTCAGAGAAAGGCAGCCTCCTCCACAGCAGCCCAGACTGGAGACTCTTGTGCTCTTACTGCAGGTAAACTCAGGATATCATCACTGTCACCTTTACTAGTGGAATACAGTTTCAGCTTCAACATCACGGCCTATACAATGGATGTCCTGAAAATGTTCAGATTCTCTGCATTAGTGATTATTACAATCTGGAATGTGAGGATCAGGAAAAAAGCCAAAAGTTTAGAAAGTTCTTTGTTTTTTGAGATCACTGGTTTCAGCACCAGTGTGATAACCTTTGTATGTGTAACCCCAGATAACACACCAGAACAAACAAAGAACTGTACTCAGTTTTTCTCCTCAAGAAGATCAAGACAGCCTTTATTATGAGGGATAACATGAATATGATTTTGGTAAAGCAGGTTCAGGTGCCTCATCTGACTGAGTGCACTCACATATAGAAACCTCCCATTCCTGGTGCCCAGCAGTGCTAACTGTGCCTCTAACTGGTACAGTAACACATTCTAAACCTCAGAAAGTCAGAAGCTTTACACCCCTATTTGCCTCTTTCTTACTCCCATTTACCATACAATAAACACTACATTTCAACACTACAAACACTACAGATCACTGACCAAGAGCATTTACATAAAAATATTTTACTCCCTGAATAGTGTGGGTTCAACCAGGTGCTTAAAAGTGTGGACATTGACCTACAGTTTTTATTTTCTATTTTTATTAAAAAATATAGTTTCATTTGTCTGATTACTGTGAGCTTTAATGCATTCCAAGAATCTTCCAGGCCATAAAATTCATGTAAACTATTTGACTAGTACAGTTTTTGTTACTAGTTAGATCTGACCAACCATAGGAAATAAACCGGTGAGACTATAATCAAGATGCAGAATTCAGGGAGTCTGTTAGGGCAGTTTTCTCGGTTCTATATCAGTCCTGATTTTTCATATTCTCTCAAGAGTCATTCACTTTGGTAGGAATGCCAGATGTACCAGACGTCATTGAAAACCTGCTTTGCTTACAGTTTGAAACAAGTGGTTTAAGCACCTGCTGCTTACTTACGATTCAAGCCCATAAGTTACCCTTAGATTCAAGATTCAAGAGTTTTATTGTCATATGCACATCAGAAACAGGCAGTTACGCTGTACAATGAAATTCTTACTTTGCTGTTCCTTCATTCACCAAATATAATCTTAATATAATCTTAGAATAAAAAATGCAGAAAATAGAGAAAAAAGAAAAACTGAAAATATAAGAATAACACTAAAAACAATAGTACAAACTACAATTATGTACAAGTTATTGTACATGACAACTTTTTTAATTCTTTATGTTCTTGGCCACATAAACAAGCCAAATGACGTTTTGTTTATGTTCTAAGGGAAAAGAAGTTAACACATCCGCTACAGAGAACACACTTCTGCACACTGTAATGAATGTTTATCATATTTATCAATCTAACACATGCTAGGCAGCTTTGCCTCTTTGCCAGCATACATGTCCATGTGGTCAAAAGACTCTGTGCCACCATTTAAGCCACAAAATGAGACGTTAATTCACACAACACAGCCAACATCCTAGTCATGTTTGTTACATATATATAATTGTCGCTATTTTAATGTACTATTTTCACATGATTTACATTTACCACTTTCTTTTTTCGTTTGTGTGCTTGTCTACTTTTTTTCTTGGTTATATCGCAACACAACAGCACAGATGCTCGCGGATGTTGGTAAAAGAAGAGGCTTTACTGTTTGAAACGTGACCCAAGTTTGTAGCCAAAAAAACATGCACAGGTCAGATCCAAAACAATCCAAAAAGACATTGAAAAGCATGACAGAGTCAGGCAACCAAGATCAAAAGGGCAAAGGCAGAAATCAGAGTCAAAAATCTAAAAAAAAAGTCCAGATACACAAAATGCAAAAACAATATGGAAAGCTCAGTAGCTCAAGGAAATGAAGCAATACCTCGCAAATTGCTAAGCTAAAAGCCTGGGCTTATAACTAACTGACTAATGCGACAAGCAAAACAGGTATAACAGATTAGTATTCAGGTGGGGGAGAGCGTTGATTGGTTGTTGTTGGCTAATCAGCAGTTACGTGATCTCCAAGAGAGTTCTGGGAAGTGTAGTTTTCAGATACAGAAGAATGTGTGACATTTTCCTTCCTGATTACTGAAAAATCATGGATTTACTACCAGTTTTTTACAGAATTATGCTAATTGATACTATACCACTAACATGCCAGGTAACACTGAGTTCTCTCATGTCTTAAAATTAAACTAGCATTAATTTATCTTTTAAACAGTAACATCTCTAACTATGCAGGTTGTAGTCTGAACTAAACAGCTACTGCAGCCAGGTTATGGCAGGCTGATTTGGCCAACAGTGTTACAAGTAGTCTAAATAAAAACCTAAATATGGGGTTTGCATTCTACAAGCATAATCTGTTAATTGCCCCTTACACACTTAAATTTATATCATGTTCTCACATATACACACTTACATTTATATCATAGTTATGTCATATTATTTATTAATTTACTTATGTATGTATGTATGTATGTATCTATATATTTATGTATGTATTATAGTGAGGACCCACTGAGACCCAAGTCCACATTTTCAGGGGTGACCCAGTACAAAATTGCAACCACAAAGCAGATGAATTAAAATATTTAAACATACACATATATAAAAGTCAAACAGCCAAATAAAATACACAGTTGTAACATTCACTATGGTGTAAAACATGTATTCAATTATAGCTTTAAAAATAATTAATGGACATGCTCTGACAACTGAAGTTTCTGATTTAAAATACTGAAATATTTAAATATTCATACATTTAAAATAAGTGTAAGGTGTGTATATGTTAACTGAGGCATGTCAAACTGGGGACCTTCTGGGCCAAAGTTCTGCGGAGATTAGCGTGTATCCTCATCTAACGCTCTGAATTTAGTTCATGAAGGTCTTTCTAATTAGCTGATCAGTTTAATCAAGTGTATTTAATGAGGCAGTGTGCTGAAATCTGCAGTGTTTGGCCCACAAGGACTGGAGCTTGACACGTATGTTACCTTATAATATGTGTGTTAAATACTCGTAGTGAAAGAAACTGTTGAACAAGCTCTCCATCATATATTGGGGTCAACAAACAGTGAAGTACCATCCACAAAATCCAGGGTGGGCATAAACAAAATTATGAATCATATATATCATACTAAGAGTCCTGCTGGGCCAGAATAAAGTCAAAACAGTCCAAAAATCTCTTTGCTTTATTCAAAAAATGTTCAGATGAAAATAGGTTTTCTTGTGCTGGAGAAAAATAATAAATCGCACAAAAATGATGAACTGATTTAAAATGAAGAAAAGAAAGAATGCATGAATAAACCAGGGGAAACGGCCTTACTTTGACTGTCCGTGAGCCAAACTACACTGAGCTTGACTGGCTATGTCCCCGAGATTAACCATTTTTATGCCAGTCCTTTGGACCATTGGACAATGGTGTTTAAGCCAATAACATTTGAGCATATATTTTGAGAAATAAACCTTAATTCTCTCTCTTTTTGCTAATTTGTGCCATTAGATTTATGATAGTCATATACAATAAAGTGAAGTATAAGACAATGCAGTTTTGTTGTTTCATGTTCTTTGTAATGATGACAAACACTACCCTAGGATTAACTGCAGTAATTCTCACCTTTAATAAACTGATTTACCTCATCAGAAATAACTTGTTTCTTGTGTCTCTCATAGAAGATCAACAGCACTGCACCCAGATGATGTCCATCCTCAGACAGCGATATGAAAGTATACTAATTGGGAATTCACAGACAGGCCATACGAAGTTCTTGGAGGATATCTACACTGATCTCATTATGGTGCAGAATGAAAGCGGAGGAGTCATTTATGAACATGAAGTGATGCAAATGGAAATGTCTTCCAACAGACCTGCTGGTGAGAAAATGTGTGTCCAATGCAGAGACCTTTTCAAGGTCCAGCCTGGTACCAATAGACGGAACAGAAAAGTGTTGACAATGGGAATTGCTGGAGTGGGCAAAACTGTCTCAGTCAACAAATTCATACTTGACTGGGCGAAGGAAGAAGAGAACCAGGACATACACTTCATTTTTCCTCTTCCCTTCCGTGAACTGAATCTAAAGAAACATAAAGAGTTCAGTTTGATTGAACTACTGAATCACTGTTTTTTTTCTTCAAAAACTGAACTGAAGTCTCTTCCAGAGGATGATGGTAAAGTTTTGTTTATCTTTGATGGGCTGGATGAGTGCCGCTTTCCTCTTTACTTTGAAGACGGAGAGGAAGTAAAAGATATCAATGAGAAGACCTCAGTGGGATCACTGATCACAAATCTTATCAACAGAAATCTGCTTCCTTTTGCTCTCATCTGGATAACTTGCCGACCAGCAGCAGCATGTCTGATTCCCAGGGACTACATCAACCTGGTGACAGAAGTACAAGGATTCACTGATGAACAAAAGGAGGCATACTTCAGCAAATGCTATAATCAGGATATGGCAATGAAAATTGTTTCACACATAAAGAAATCAAGGACTCTCCACATCATGTGTCAAATTCCAGTGTTCTGCTGGATCTCTGCCACTGTGCTTCAGCCTCTGATGGGTCAAGATAGCAATAAGGAAATCCCCACAACCCTAACAGGAATGTACATAAGCTTCCTGCTGCAGCAGAAAAACTTAATGAAAAAGAAATACAGTAAGAAAACCAGAACTGTTGATGCTGAGCACATCATTCTGAAGCTGGGTAAACTGGCCTTCTGTAATCTTGAGAGTGGTACTCTGATTTTCTATGAAAATGATCTTAAGAAATGTGGTATTGATTTCAGTGATGGCACTGTGTTCTCAGGAGTGTGCACACAGATTTTCAATCAGCAGGAGGGAATTTCTGAGAGGAACATTTTCAGTTTTGTGCATCTGAGTGTTCAGGAAAGCCTTGCAGCTTTATATGTGTATCACTCACACTGCAACAAGAAAAGGAATGCATTTAAAGAGAAGACATTCTGGAACAAGCTTAAATGGAGCAATAAGAGAATAACAGATCTCCATAAGTGTGCCGTGGAAAGAGCTTTGCAGAGTGAAAATGGACACCTGGACCTTTTTCTCCGTTTCCTGCTCGGCCTCTTACTGGTGGACAGTCACCATGTCCTAACTGAACTTCTACCAAATCTGAAGATCAAAGTAGAGAGTGTTAGGGACACAGCCGACTATATCAAGAAGAAACTGCATGAGGAAATGTCATCTGACAGAAGCATAAATCTCCTCCACTGTCTGAGTGAACTGAAAGACAATTCCCTGACGACTGAAATCGAGAAACACCTGAACTCAGAAAATTTCTCAACACAAGAACTCTCATCTCCACAGTGGTCAGCTCTGATGTTTGTGTTGCTGATATCAGAGGAGACTCAAGAGAAGTTTGAGCTGAAGAAATATAGGCCATCAAAGGAAGGACTGAACAGACTACTGCCAGTGGTGAAAAACACAAGACGAGCTCTGTAAGTATCATTTTCAGTTCAATATTTTAAACATTCTTAAAAGAAGTTCAAATATCTAAGCTGCAGTGTTTTCCCAGTTTTTATTTTAAATGGCTTCACTGTTGGCCCCATTCAGAAAATAAATTTATGAAATTAATCATTTAACTCGAAATAATTTGTATAAACTGTGCACTAATATTGGTCTTTGGTATGGTTGTATGTATTTCTAATCCTTTAATAGATGCAGGCTAATAAAATAATCTAAATACCTCAGTGGGTAGAATTTTATTTTATGGTACAGTAAGCACCTGGTGTTTAATAGGTAAATATGTAGTAACTGTTGAATTTCCATTACATACTTTGCAAGTGTATAGTAATTTTTGTGAAACTATCAGGTATTTACAGTAGTACTTACTGGTACATTAAAAGAATTATTTGGAATGTATTAGGTAATTGTGTAGTACTTACAATTCTTTTTTGGTACATATTGATTTATGTACAATCTACCATGTATGTACAGCACTACATACTGGTGCAATGCAATAAACTTCATATCTCTGGACACATCAGGGCTGAAGTGTTTATGTGGCTGAGAGCTGCTTTCTTTTGATTGGCATTCTTTGATTGGCATTCTTTGATTTGACTTTCTTTGATTGGCATTCTTTGATTGACTTTCTTTTGATTGGCATTCAAATAAATATGTCAAATTCAAGCTAAGGCATCTGGTTTACAAAACTGAAATAGACATTTATTTTTACTCTGTAATATTATTAGGACAACTGATTTATAACACTATTGATAATATGGGGAAATTTGGTATTTTGCAGAGTGCTCTCTTACAGATGTAGAAGATATAACATACTTACAGACTTACATATCAGACATATTTACTGCAGGCCTGGGGATATCTAAAAATAATTAGCACAAAATGTTATTAGTAAAAATTCAGTTGTATCTTTTATAATTTATTTGCTCAGATGGTAAGTCACAGTCTTGGAAAAAGTCAGTTCAGACAGTGGAAAATGTATTCTTTTGTAGCCTAAAGACTTATGAATGCGCTGTAATGATCCATTGTTTTAACAGCAAAGAAAATAAAATGTTGCATGTACATATTATTTAACCTTATTTAGCAGGCTGTTTAAAATGAACAGCATAGAGGTGTGGCTTTTTGGTCTTTTCATCACTTTGACAGAGCTCATTTTCATCTGTGCATTACTTTTATTCATACTTGTGTGTGTCTGTTTCTTCACACACCATGTTCTTTACACCGTCATTGCATTTTAGAGTTTGATTCTAGTTGTTTATTTTGCTCTTCAATAATGCTGTCATCTATGTTTGTGGTCACATCTAACTCTGATATGCTGTGTTGTTTGTTAACACTTCAGTGCACACCTAGAGATCCAAAGCACTCCAAAGATTACCACCCTTTACTGAGCTAAGTCATTATGCTATCCCACATGATCTTTTTTCTTGTTTTTTCTTGTTTCTTTATGTGTGTATTTATTCCCCCTGTGTAGATTAGATTCTTGTGATCTTGGAGTAAAAACATGTGAAGTTCTGGAATCAGTTTTAAAACAGGAAAACTCTTCTCTGAAAGAACTTGACCTCAGTAACAATAACCTGTATGATTCAGGAGTGGAGCTGCTCTGTGCTGGACTGAAGGGTTTTCACTGTAAACTGGAGATACTCAGGTTAGCTTTCTGAATGGTAACGATTTTTAACTCTAAACTCAAGATATTAATTTCATTACTTACAAAATTTTACCCCATATTTCTTGGGGCTACAGAATTCTAACAACCCCAGTAATGTACAAATATGTGAAATCTTAGCTGAGTTACTTAAACATGACATTTAAAACTTTTGTAAAAAAAAATCTCTTTTTGGTTGTATTGTAAGATCTATTGTCTTGCTTTGCAGACTGGCTTTGTGTAATCTTGGAAAAAAGACTTGTGAAAATCTGAAATCAGTTTTAAAACTGGAAAAATGTTGCCTGAAAGAGCTGGATATCAGTAACAATGACCTGCAAGATTCAGGAGTGGAGGTCCTCTCTGCTGGACTGAAGAGTTCACATTGTAAACTGGAGATACTAAGGTAGATTTTCTGTTAGTTAATACTAGAATGTAATGTTAAAACTTGACAATCATTGTTTAACAAGAAATAAATATCAGGTGTTTGGGCCATCCACCTCCTAACTAACACAATGGCACAATATCTGAGTGTTACTACCAACCAAAACACAGAGTAATTAAATGGGTAGGACCTGATGACTCAAGTACATTACTTGACCCTTTCTGATCTCACCTGCTTAACCACTCTATATCACTACTTTGTTCTTCGTGCCAAGGCTACTCTTCCTTTCTAATCTTAATCTGTCTGTTCATCCTATAAACCCAGATATAGCACCGCAGAAGTAATTGACTGTGGCTTTTTGTTTCCTCCTGATGCATCATCCTGGTGCACCACCAGATCCAGCTGAGGTCTGGCTAACCTTACCAAATCACTACAAGTTACATCCTGAATAAGTCCTCAACGTCCAATTTGTCCATTTTCCCCAAAGCCAAAAGGAAAGGAAAATGAAAGGATTGTATCATATCGCATGCACACAACCCTTAGCAGTTACTAAATCAGCTTTTTATCACCTTAAGAACATCAGCAAGATCAGAGACTAAACCAGACCTGAAGAAACTCATCCACGCATTCATTTCTAACAGGATTGATTACTGTAATGGTCTTAAGCTGCTTCTTATGAATCTAAGAAGACTGATTAGGAAATATTTGCAAAGTATATTCGTTGGAGTTAATGTTGGTTTTATAATGAAAAGAATAACAGTGAAAATTATATCAAGGCCTACGATTGTCAAAACAAAAACACTCTCCTTTAATATATGACTTTAAATCCAAAATGTGGAAACTCTGGCTGTTTTTACTGAGATCTCTGAAAGAGCTCAGAATGAGATGATTTTTTACATTTGAGATTTTTTGAATGTTAATAAATTGTTTATGGAACTGCCAATTGTTAGTATTTTTCTTTTCTGTTTAATATTTCACCTTTCTTAATCTGTCTCTGTCCATTTCCATCTTTCTTCCCTCTCTCTGCAGATTATCTGGTTGTATGATCACAGAGAAAGGCTGTTCTTCTCTGGCTTCAGCACTAAGTTCAAACCCCTCATACCTGAAAGAACTGGATCTGACCTACAACCACCCAGGGGAGTCAGGAGTGAAGCTGCTCTCTGCTAGACTCGATGATCGACATTGCTCACTCAACACACTCAGGTATGAACAACTGTGTTGTTCAGAGGTGTGTGTTTGTATTTCTGAATATTAATCCTAGATATTAAGTAATAGTGTCTCTGTACAGTTTACTGTAGCACAATGACTGTACACTAAAGTATAGCAACTGTTCAGTGTAGAATGGTGAATGTACAGTATGTGGTACTATAATAATGGTACACTATAATACAGTACATTATAATAATTGTACACTATAGTATAGTAACTGTACTAAATACTGTAGTATAATTACTGTGCACTGTGTTATACTAAGTGTGCTCTATACCAGAAAAACCTTTTTTTCACCCCAGGGCCAACCTATGTATAACTACAAAGCATAGCGGCCCACAGGAAACTAAAATAAACTTATTATATACAACTTTTTTTGTTTTTCTTAAACACTCACTAAAAACCTGAAAATTAGGGCCTCAAAATGATCAGATCGGCCATTCTGGTTGTCAGTAGATTTCCAAAATTTGAAGATATGTTAAAAAACATAAAATGTTAAAAAAAACATGTCTGTAGTGATGTAACAAAGGGGGGAAAAGAATAGAAATGTACAAGGTAGACATGGACTGTGATTTGAAGCTGCAGTCTATCGCATTTTCACTGAAAATACTTCCCTGGCTTTTTCAAGAGAGTAATTGTTTGGTCTTGAGATGTCTCTTTAGTTTTAAAGGCTTTTGTGATTCATTTGTAACCACACTCCATTCAGTGGTCTTTTGGATTAGCATTGTCACAATCAACAATTATAATATCTCCTTCTTTGTCACTGGTTTGTCTGTTTTAATTTAACCACTCAGGTTGCTGATGCTCAGCCAAAATATGCTCCGCTATGATCCAGGAGTTGAAATCAAATGCGTATGTTTGCTATTATTTTATTGCCCCTCTATTGTTTTAAACAGCAGTTTGATGTGTTTATTCATGGCCGGAAGCACAAGATGGGGTTTTAATTCACAAATGCCAGAGCTTTAGTCACTGAATTTGTAACATTGGAAATGTGGAATTTGTTCACAGTGTCTGAAAAGACAGTTCTGTACTCCCTGTTTGAAACAAGAATCAAATCAATGATTGTTTCAGTAGTACTGGTAACACATGTTGGTTCATATATCAGCTGTGTTAAACTGGTTTCCCCACAGAAATTCATAAACAATGTATATAAAGTAGTATCTTTCTTCCGAATTTCCTTGTTCAGATAACCTAATACAGTGCTCTCCAAATTTGTGAAATTATTTGTACATATGTCCGCTAACAGTTCATAAAACACTTTTGAAGGCCTATAATGTCCTCCAACCAAAATTGGCTTACTTTTGGGGAAAATAAAATCTGTCCAGACCACCTCTAATTTATTATGATGCAAATCATCTATAATGTTCAAATCAATAGCCAATCACACATATACACAAACCGCACCCTATTCCTATTTCAATCTTTCTAATAATAGTGTAGTTTTCTAATCTCAAAGTAAATAACTCATGCCAAGTTTCAGAAAAACATAAAATATCTGTCTTACTTTGAACAGAGAGTAGACGAATTTCATGAAACTTGGGTAGGAGTCTCAGCACATTTCAATGAAGGATATGCAGTACTCTTGTTACAAATATATTACCAAAATGAAAAATGTCTTCCTCTGCAGCTTTTCTCTCCAAAAGTAAAAGGATCCTGGCGGGGATCACACGTGTACTTTATTGGTAGTGGCCCAACACCAGCTCTCCTGTCGTTCCAATTTAGGCTTGAGATCATCTGCGTTATTGACCCCTCCAAGCACCTTGGTCTGCGCTGCTTCCCCTCTCCATATTCCTTTGTGTTTGAAGATGTGCCGATAATTTATCACTCTCATATGCTGATAATTGAGCTTTGCCAATGTAAGGTTCCTGCTTATTTTCCATGTACATGCAGTTTATGTCTGTGGTGCTGCTAACACTTCTCTGCTTCATGGTCTTCTCAGGGCCTGGGCACTGATTAACATCCCCAACCAATAAAAAGCATAATAATATAATTAAAATTTCACTTTTCCTCTTACTCTTAAAACCCCACCTGGAGACTGCAGCAATTCGCCAGTGGTGTGTGGCCTAGTACTCAGCCCACTTTTTTATTACACTACACAACACATTAAACAACAATACACAACAACATTGAGGCCAGGGGTCTAAAAATTTGGAAGGAGGGATCCTTTTTAGCCTTTTGGAGCCATAAACTTTGTATATAACAGCACTGTATCTTTAGCTTAACTAGGCATTTCAAGCAGTGTACAGTAACCATATATATATGAAGTTCATTTTTGAAAACAGAAAAGAAACGTTTGGCCCCACTCACTTTCAATTTATAATATTTATCAACTAAGAAAATAAGATTTATTGTAAAATATTTCACTTCATTTCTTTCTCATAATGAAAGGTACCAAAAAGACATCTTTAAAGCAAAAAGGAAATCATTAATGAAATGAATCTAAACAAATATCAATGGACCAGACCAAAACTTGCTTGTATGTACACACTGCCTAAACAGAGAGATAATGTGTTCAGTTGTATTTTCATATAAAGAGCAGTCAATATCAGGATTGTATCTCTTAAGAAAAGCTTTTGCTGGACAGAACCTATGGATTAATTTAAGCATAACTTCTCTCACTTTTTTGGAAAGGAGGTACCTAAGTGGCAGGGGCCACACCCTTTGCCAAGGTTTATTCTTTACAATACTATCCCATGATGCCACTACTTAAGGAATCGTAACAATATTTTCCAGATTAAGGGTCTAATTTTCTAGTTATTATATTGCTGCTCTGTAGAAAAGCCCACATTGTCTACAAAAGTATCCAATAAATCAAAGGTCTAATCAAATGGCCATTAAATTAAAAATTAAAACCCATCAGCAACATAGTCAACTTTTAACAGGCTGAAAACACAACAAAGCTGTACCTGGACCTCTTCCTGAACTTCAAGGTGTTTCATGCTCTCTTTCTGGTTGTGAACCAGTTCTAATATCGTCTCCACCTTAGGAAAGAAAAAATTAAAATACAAAGGTAATTATTAATTTAAATGCACATATTTTTTCTGAAGTATCTAGCACTATATAGCATCTCTTAACAATGTATGTAATGTATAATATGTGACTCAAGGTTTACATTGTGTCAGGATAAAAAAAAAATACCATATGATTTATTGAAAGAAAAATACATCTAAATCAGATCCACACTTGTTTCATATAACGTATGCTTTTGAAACATCCACAAGATTTGTTGAAATTGTTTTTACATGAGACTAAGAAAGTTTTTTTTTTAATTTGATGCCTGCAACACATTTTTAAAAAGTTGGGATGGGGCATGTCTACCACTTTGTTGCATCACCTCTTTGTTTAACAACACTGTAAGCACTTGGGAACTGAGGAGACCAATTGCTGTAGTTTTGAGAGGGAAGTGTTTTCCCATTTTTGCTTGATGGATTTCAGCTGCTCAACAGTTCGGGGTCTTCTTTTTTGTATTTTTTGTTTCATGATGTGCCAAATGTTTTCAGTTCGAGACAGATCTGGACTGCAGGCAGACCAGTTAAGCACCTGGACTCATTTACTACAGAGCCATGCAGTTGTAATATGTGCAGAAGGTATTTGGCATTGTCTTGCTGAAATAATCAAGGCCTTGACTGAAGAAGACATCATCTGGATGGCAGTATATGTTGCTAAAACCTGTATGTATCATTCAGCATTAATGGTGCCTTCAGAGCACCCCATACCATCATGGATCATGTCTTTTGAACAGCCAGATCTCTTTAGGCTGGAGGACGCGGCATCCATGTTTCCAAAAAGAATTTCGATTTGTTGAACCACTGGTCACTTTTCCACTCCACCTTAGTCCATCTTAAATGAGCCCAGGCCCAGAGAAAACAGCGGTGTTTCTGGATGCTATTTATACATGGTGTCTTCTTTGCATAGTAACAGTTAACCTTCTCCAATCTGAAGAATTAAGCTGAATTTTGCTCCCTTTCCTCTAACCATTTTTATCTAGAAAGTACATAAGCTCCCTTGGCTTTTAATTTTTACATGTCATCCAATTTATTTTGTAATTATTGTGCAATTTCACATTTCTCCTTTCAGGATAGCAAAGCTAATTTAGGAATTATCTTTTCTTTGGTTGCTCTGTTGCTTTCAGCCAAAACACTCCCGACTTTTTTTGAAAACATAACCAGCTTAAGAGCTTCCCAAAAGTGAAGGCTTTATCCAGTTTTCAGTCTGCATCTAGTCTTTCTCTCTTAAGTGTGTAAAAATCATATATTTGTATATTTTTTTATTTAGTTTTTGAGCCTCTTTGTTGAGTTTTTCATATAAACATAATCGAAAGCAAGTTATTTACAGTTTAAGATAAGGTTAAACTGTTACAAGATACTGTTTTTGCAGTCTATACAGTCTAAGGCGCAAATCATTGTGTTATTTATGTTTTTATATTCATTTACTGTAAGTTGTAAGAGTTACATTTAGAGTTGAACATTTCCACTCTATGAAGATTAACTTTATGGTAAATGAATATAGGCCCCAAATATCAGTTATCATGGTTACTAATAATTAGTATCAGCCCTAAAAAAACATATCAGTCAACCCCCCCCCCACTACAAAGAGCTTTAAAATTCCACTCTCACTGATCACAGACACATCTAGAGTCAGACCACCACACAGCGTGTCTCAGCAACTGCACACACCCAGAAACAGACCCCCTTAGACCCCCACAGACCCCTCAGAGATAAACATCACCTTCAAAACACAGCCCAGTTCACACTCTCAACAACACAGCTCAAATGATCCACAAAACACATCAAAAACAATAAATCAATAACTGGACCAATAAAGTTTCATCAGTTAAACAAATATATAGTTCAATTAAAACTGATATCCATCATTTGAAGAGAAAGTTATTCAAACTGAAAATCCGATGCACGTGTTTAGGAGAGACACCTGAATGTGTTAAACTATCCGATAAATATGTTTACAACTGTTACGCACACAATAATTAACACATTTACATAATCAAATAATCACTAAACATAAATATTTATTCGTGCACATGTACATACACATGGATATAAATATTTTATTCTTTTAATGCAATTCATGACAATAAAGCTATTAGAATTTGACTGAAAGAGAGAGATACAGAGAGAGAGAAATAGAGAGAGAGGTGAGAACATTGATGAATGAATATAGTAATGTGTGTGTTTGTGTGTTTAGAGTGGAACATGGAGGTGAGATCAGAATCAAACCAGGGGTGAAGAAATGTAAGTACATACACACACTCTCTCTCTCTCTCTCTCTCTCTCTCTCTCTCTCTCTCTCTCTCTCTCACACACACACACACACACACACTAATCTACCTTCTTGTGCGCAGATTCCTGTGAGGTCACTCTGGATCCAAATACAGCACACAGACGTCTCTCGCTGTCTGACAGGAACAGAAAGGTGGCTAATGTGGGATCCTCACAGTCGTATCCTGATCATCCAGAGAGATTTGATCAGTGGTATCAGGTTCTGTGTAGAGAGAGTCTGACTGAACGCTGTTACTGGGAGGCTGAGTGGAGCGGGGGTGCAGCTCGCATAGCCGTCACATATAAAACAATCGGCAGGAAAGGACGCAGTGCTGACTGTGGGTTTGGACACAGTGAAAAGTCCTGGAGTCTGGAGTGCTCTGATTACAATTATATTGTCCGTCACAATAATAACAGCAAAGGTCTCTCTGCTCCTCCCTCCAAGAGAGTAGGAGTGTATGTGGACTGTCCGGCCGGCACTCTGTCCTTCTACAGCGTCTTCTCTGATGTACACAGACTTATACACCTACACACATTCAACACCACATTCACTGAACCACTCTGTGCAGGGAGTTTGGGTTAATTATGGCTCCTCGGTGTGTTTGTGTGAGATAGAATAACCTTTTGTGTGTGTGTTTGTCCTTTAAACACACAAGTAGAGCTAATGAACATCACAAAAACACCCACACACACATGGAACACAACAAATAGAAAACTAAATTCTTTCTGTCTTTCTCTTTGTTTCTTTTTCTCTATGTCTTTCTCTCTCTCTCTCTGTCTCTCCTGCTCACCTTCCTCTTTCTCTCTCTCTGTCTCTCTCTCTCTCTCTCTTTCCTTCTCTGTCCTGCTCTCTTTGTCTTTATCTCTTTCTGTCTGTCAACTCTCATTTATGGCTAGCAGGTTAGTGCATGCCTACCATGTTATGGTGCAGCTGGCAGATTCGCTCTTTCTGTGTCTCTCTCTTTCTTTCTCACACTCTCTTTCTCTGTATCTCTTTCTGTCTCTCTCTCTCTCACCTTCCTCTCTCTGTCTCTCTTTGTATTTGTCTCTCTGTCCCTCTCTCTCTCTTTATCTCTCTTGTGTGGTTTTCTGTATAAAATTATGATTCCTTTTTCATGATAACAGATTGTCACATAACAGTTTAGGAGTGTGTTTATGGGAATTTCTGACCATTCTTCCAGAAGCGCATTTGTGAGGTCAGACACTGATGTTGGACGAGAAGGCCTGGCTCACAGTCTCCGCTCTAATTCATCCCAAAGGTGGTTTATCAGGTTGAGGTCAGGCCAGTCAAGTTCTTCCACACCAAACTCGCTCATCCATGTCTTTATGGACCTTGCTTTGTGCACTGGTGTGCAGTCATGTAGGAACAGGAAGGGGCCAAACTGTTCCCACAAAGTTGGGAGCATGCAATGGTCCAAAATCTCTTGGTCTGCTGAAGCATTAAGAGTTCCTTTCACTGGAACTAAGGGGCCGAGCCCAACTCCTGAAAAACAACCCCACAACCCCACAGCGTCCAGGGTTTCCAAAAGGAATTTCAAATTTTGATTCATCTGACCTCAGAACAGTTTTCCATTTTGCCTGAGGCCATTTTAAATGAGCTTTGGCCCAGAGAAGACGGCAGCGTTTCTGGACGGTGTTGACATTTGACTTCTTCATGGCATGATACAGCTTTAACTTGCATTTCTGGACTGCAAACCGAACTGTGTTCACAGACACTGATTTCTGGAAGTGTTCCTGAGCCCAAGTAGTTTCAAGTTTTTTCAAGTTCACAACATGTCAGGACATTTATGCATTGAAATGCTTGTGGTGAGGCTCAGGTAATCACTCTACAGAAGGTAAACAAAGTAAAAATAAAAATACAAGAAAAATAAACTGAAATATATTAAATATACAGAAATATACACAAAATATAGAGACAATTAAATTTAAAGTGACTTAAGTGACTCCGTGTTATTATTATTTAAAGTGACTTAGTGTTAAAGTGCTATTGTCCATAGTAGTGATATGATATAATGATAATGCTGACAAAGTGACTGAGTGGAAAGGCAGTTGGTGAAGCACCCACAGCTTCACAGCTTGTTCAGAAGCCTGACAGCCTGTGGGTAGAAACTGTTCATTAACCGGGTTGATGTGTGTGTCACTTCCAGTTCGAATATGATGTGTTTTTTCATCTATACAAGTTCAGTTTGTCATGATTTTGATGCACTGCAGAAAAAAATGATAATTTTACCACACATCCATATTTAAAGTGAATTTTGGCTAAGAGCTATATAGCTTTTAGCCAAAATTCTCTCTTCAGCCTCAGCTTTGCAGTGAAAAACCAGAGACCTTCCTCTAGGTCTGATATGATTGGTTTACAGCTTATATATGATTGGCCAAGCTAGGTCAACCAGGCCCTGCTATTACAGTACACTGTTAATGATAATAAAGTACAGACTATTTGAAGTAGTAATGTACATTTATTTGGGCTAAATAACATTTAGGGGGACCAAATCTCCCATAAAACTGGCCTAGTGATGCCCATTCTTCTCTATGAACATGAAAATCAACAGCATTTTGATAATTGTACCACTCCTGCATTGGGCGGGTGGGGAAGAAACCATGAAGTGTCTCTGTTGGTTCCTGATGGTTTTGTAATGTGTTTTGGCTTTTTTATTGGGTTGATACCACAATGCAAAGGATCCTAATTGTTTAACAGATGATCAATGGACGATTCTAAAAGTTTTTCATGGTTTCCCAATAGAATCTAAAGGTCTTCACAATCTCAAAGGTCACACTTCAATCATAGGCTTAAAGCTATTTTTAAAAAGCATATGAATACATTCAGTGTATACATACATACATATATATATATATATATATATGTAGCATATTTAAAATTGCCAACTGCATGCTGTACAACATGAGAGACATCTGGTATTACATCATACTCGTACTGTGTTTCGGTAGAAATTTGCATAAAGCAAAATATTTTGAGGTGCACTCTGGCATAAAACTGATATTTCTCATGCCATAGTATTCTGTAACACAGCATTGCATTTCATCATTTCTTCTCACTACAATACCCAGCATGCATTACTCAAAATGGCATTCAATTGGGAATCCTGCCACCCTGTTACAAAGCCTAAATACATTCATGCTGCTAACTAGTGCATATGTCTACCTGGTCTCGAAACAAGATGTCTAAGACTTGTGTCAAAAAATTCTTCAACTACATCTTTAAATCTCTAAAAAACTACAGAGATATAAGAATTGTAATCTGTAATCTATGGTTGTAATGATTTAAGACAGTTAGCCAAGTTATATCCTAGCAGTAGCAGTCTCTCTTCCTCTGCATTAGCATTAGCCTATTGGTATTAATAAGCAGCATCATTAGCCATTTAGGGTCCTTGCTGAAGTCGACAAAAGCGGTTAGCGACCCTAGGAAACAATGTCAGCACGGGTCTGCACCCTGAAGTTGCAAACGGAGGTTTAATGTCGTGACTGCTGTCTGCGCCTACCTCATCGCTCCAAGGCATTCCGGCTTGTTCGGAGCTCTATATTCTGAGGAGCACATTGCACGTTGTTTCGTTCAGATTGTTTAATTCTAGAGAGAGTTATTACGGAATATTGGGGCCTCTTTTGAGTGAAGTTCAAAAGAGTTACGGGTACATCTATCTAAAGATAGATGTACCCGTAACTGAATAAAATATAACTTACTCTCATGACAGATGAATGAAAGAGTGTTGTTGCAGTTCACATTGGTCCAGTAACTCTGCAGTATCTCTGAGCTCCACCCAAGCTCTTTCCCTCAGTAATAAGTATGAACCTTTCAGCGTTTGTCTTCTTTGCTGAAAGAAAATGAATTCATATTATTAAGAATTCAGGGACATGACATACTGTACAATTCCAAACTTCATAATCTGGCAGAACACTTTTGGCACACTAACAGCCAGTCAGATTGCAGTGTTTTATAGAACTGTTTCATTTAGTGATATTGATCAAAGTTGAGTAGCGATAAGAGCAGATTTGATCGTCCCGAGTGATGTACGAACTCTGCATCTGATTCAGGAAACTGTACAAAGACAAAACAAGCGCTGATTTGGTCGCAACCGATGAATCAGCTTCGGTGCGTGAAAACATGTGCCCGCACACAAGTACATATCGCACACAAGTACAAGTATATATGTTTGCATATCGTTTGCAATTTGCCCTCATATGCATATAATTTACATGAAGCACATCCTTATTCATGTTTGTATAGCGAGCCAATGAAAGAAAAGCACTCAGCAGGTCATATGCCAATGTTGTTCTCATGGGTGGAGTCTGGGGTGGAGCAAGATGTGCACTGCTGGCCCTGCTGGCCAGAGCCTACATAGTTTCATAAGTAGGTAAACTATATAATTATAAATGAGTGCACTTACATCAAAGTTCTCAGACGAAGGTCCAGATAAACAAACTAGCATGAGTGAACAGCCACAATCGTTATCTTTAAATGCTTAACCATTAATATTTAGTTCACCTAGCGATTAAAGTACAATAAGACACATGGAATATTTATTTTTATTTTATTTTAAACTTGCATAGTCTACTGAACAAGGTAGAAAATATGTTTTATTTGAAATAAATGATAAAAATGCTTAAACAATAATAAAGCCTATTTTAATGAGCATTGCATGCTTTTGCGCTGTCAGGGCTGGGTTCTTTAGAAGAGGATATAGCCAGTACGTTAATTTGAAATTATTTAACTTATTTTTTAGCAACGCTGAACATTTCCACTTTTGACCAGCACCACGGACTCTGAACAGATGAACTTGAAATGGAGAGAAAAGCATACTTTTCACCTTGACCATGAATACTATGACTCCACCAAAGCAAACCCAGACTATGCCAGGCTACTCAAATAAATACGTCTGACAAGAAACTGCTTAAGAGACTTTTCACAAATTTATTCATTAATAACAACAGCATGGAATTTAAGCCATTACAGAATATGTACACTCAAAGAACAAGGCCCAGGCCCCGAATAGAGATACTCCGGAAGCTTCAACCTGATCAATTATAGCAAATAAAGCTCCCACACACATGCACTCAAGCAAGAAATGAAAATACATAAGGCACTACAAACCACAATACAACCATTAAAAACATAAACTGTACTCAACAATAAACCAAACTTAGGAAAAGGAAGGAAGATGATGACCTAAGCTCTTCCAGGCCTTTGTGACAACTGGCCAAAAAAACTTTTTTAAGGATTCAAAAACTTCAAGATACTATTACTAAAACAAGGGTCAAATATTGTTTATATGTAAATTTCATGATGAATGGATTAAATGAAATTATTTAAAATGACTTGATAAAAATTCTGGCTCCATTCGCTTACATTAAAAGTAAAGTAGGTTTTTTCCTTCTCCTGTAAAATTACCATTTTGGTGATACAAGGTTTTTTTCCGACAACAGCGAAATGGTGGTGGTGTGTTAGTGTGTGTTGCGCTGGTACAAGTGGATCAGACATACTGTGTCGACTCACTGTCCACTCTTTTAGACACAGCTGCCCTGTTGGTCCACCTTGTAGATGTGAAGTCAGAGACGATAGCTCATCTGCAGCTGCACAGTTGGTCACAGGACACTGCCCACAGGACGCTGTTGGCTGGATATTTTTGGTTGGTGGACTATTCTCAGTCCAGCAGTGAAACTGAGGTGTTTAAAAACTCCAGCAGCACTGCTGTGTCTGATCCACTCAGACTAGCGCAACACACACTAACACACCACCACCACGTCAGTGTTACTGCAGTGCTGAGAATGACCCACCACCCAAATAGTACCTGCTCTGTGGTGGTCCTGTGGAGGTCCTGACCACTGAAGAACAGGGTAAAAGGTAACGAAGCATGCATAGAAACAGATGGACTACGTTCTGTAATTGTAGAACTACAAAGAGCTCCTACATAAGTGGAGCTGATAAAACATACAATGAGTGTAGAAACTAGGAGGTGGACTTGATGAAGTGTTTTTTGATGAAGTGTAGTTTTGATTAGTTGGCTGCAAATCAAGTATTTTGTTCAATTTGTTAAACTATTACTCTGAAATTTGCACACATTCCTACCATACATGTGTTGATTGCACAGATGAAAATGACAAATAACAAAACAGTCTGTGAAAACTGTTGCACTCACTTTACGATCAGATTTCACCGTATGCAACTTTGAGGACTATGGACCATTGGGCTTAATATAACTTTGCAGAATATTTGCTACAGAATTGGGGTGGCATATGAGGTGGCAAGCCATACGGAGGGGGTTATTCTACAGAAATGTCCACTTTTCTATCTCTCCATAGGTGCCCCTGTTGTTACTGAACCTCATTGGTGTTACACATCAGAAAGGTAGCACCAGAGACATTTTTAATGAAAAATGCATTTTACAAAATGGCTGCTACAGAGCATCAAACCAATGTCATCAATCATGGAAAATCCACTAAAATATGTAATTTAATCCATTTGTATTCTGTTTTTTTTCACAATTACCTCAGAATAAAGTCGGTCACACCAGTGACTTCAGCTAAAAGCTTCATATGAAATCATGAGCTAAATGAGAAAATCTCTGATAACTGAGAGACACAGTGGACTCACCATGTGCTTTTCTTCATAGATCCTCAGAAAACAGGTAAAAGGAAGTCAAATGATGTCATCAGTGTGATTTTTATTTCAAAATAAGAGATTTTTGTTATGCAGTAACCCCAGTGACAGGACTCCTGGTGATCACAACTTTCATTATTTTTTTATAATATCTATTTGGCATCTGTTTTCTTTATATAATTTAATTAATATAGTTCATGGTAATGTATAGATTATTGTAGTTAAAATCGCAGAAAATGTGTTTTTTGTCTTCAAAATATGACTGTGAGGACGAGCTCTTCTGTGGTGCTTGGAATTCTAGATAATTGATTTAAAAAACAATATTAATAAATTGAGGCTCAAGAAGGTATAATTGTTAAAATAAATTGTTTTATTTTAAAATGTAAATAAACTAACTTTTTTCTTGTGTTATATATCTGTAAACGCTAGGGACACAAAAATGGACGTTTCTGAAGAATGACCCATATAACTGGTCTGTATGAGAGGGTGTAACATCAAGGGACAGACTTGAGAGTGGATCTAAGTGCAAACTGACTTTTTTTACAGCCAAAGAGCAGTACAAACAGTCCAAGACAACCAAAACAAAGACGATATCCAATAATCAGAACAAACAGAAGCTGGGCAGTAGGTCCATGAACATGAACATGAAAAAGACCAAAAATAATAAGTAATAGGGCTTAGAATCACAAGGGAAGATCTGACAAGACTTCACAAAGACCTGAGCTGAAACACAAGCTATGTATAGGGGGAGTAATGAGAAAACAAGCTTCAGGTGAGCAGTCAGCCATTAAAACTCCGAAGAGAGTGACCTCTGCAGGCAGGCAGGGGAATCTCCAGACAAGAATCTGGAAAGAAGCCATTACTGAAGAAAAAAAAAACACCAAAGAAAGTCTGGACCCAGCTAATATGTGGGAGAGGGTTTTGTGGTCAGATAAGAGATTTTTGGCCAAAATTGAAAATGATAGGTAGGAAAATGTTGCACAAACCCAACACTGCTTATTCCTCACCAAACACCACCCCAGCAGTGAAGTATGGGGGTTACAGCCCCATAGTTTGGATGCTTTTCCTCAGTTGGGACTTGACATACAGGGAACTACTGCAAGACGACCTGTTTCAGTCTGCTGGAAAACTAAAGCTTAGAAGAAACTTCACCTTTCAGCAGGACAGTGTTCTCAGGCACAAGGTCAAAGCAACACATGAGAGGTTGAACAACAAAAAAGGGAATGTTCTACAACAGCCAAGTCAAAGTCCAGATCTCAGTCCAGTCGAGAATCTCTGGCACCATTTCGAAAATTGTGTTCCACAAGCATCATCCAACCAAACTGAACAACGTGGAGCAAATGTATCAGGAATAAAGGCCGAACATTACACCCAAACAGTGTGTGAAGCTGGAAGAAACTCACCCCAACAGATTTGAAGCTGTTACTGGAGCAAAAGGTGGTTCTATTAAGTACTAGTCTGAAGGGGTTGAATACTTATGCAAGTAGCATTTTTCAGTTTTTTATAAATTTTAAAAGCTCTGCTGACAGATGATGAATTTTGACATTGAAAACAGACTTTAACAGCATATTGGTTTGCAATAAAAAATACTGTCTGTTAATGTGCCATTTGTATTCCAGGCTACATGTATTTGCAAGAAACTGTATCTACCTGCATGCATTATGATTACAAAACCACTCATTCTAACAATTATCAATATAAACATGAAGACAGCATTTAAGAATATGTGTTAATGTGAAGACAGCAAATGTAAATCCTACCTGGGTGTTTGTTGTTGCTTTATCTGGTTTATTTCGGATCTTCATGAGCATCAGCTGTCTTCCACTCGCCTTCTGTCTCTGTATCTCTCTCTATCCAGTATTTCTCTGTCCATTCAGCCCCTCCCATCTCTGTCATCTGCTAATTGATGTTATCTGAATCACACCATACCTCACAGTTTCAGTTTCCAAGGAATCATCACACACTTCGCATATGGTTCTGTCAACAAACTGCTAATAACAACTGACCCTTTGTAGGCCCAAAGAAGCAGCTCTGGATGTGCAGCTCTGGCAATGGTAGACAACTCTGGCCCAAAGAAGCAGCTCTGGATGTGCAGCTCTGGCAATGGTAGACAACTCTGGCCCAAAGAAGCAGCTCTGGATGTGCAGCTCTGGCAATGGTAGACAACTCAATATAGTATAGAGTACCAGAATTGCCAGTATGAAAAATGAATAAAATAATAAATAAATTAATGCATTTCAGACACAACTTTACAGTATGTTAGCTTTGTCCCAGTTGGCACATGCGTTCCTCATTGGCACGTATCTTTGAGGACACAAGGCTGAAGGTGGTGCAGTTTCTCTCTGTGTTGATATATGCATAATGCCTTTGCTTACTGGAACCTGTATTGTCCAGTAACTACAGTACAATGTGTGATGTTGAAGTTCACCAGTAAACACAATGAAATTTACGTCACACGCCTGCATGGTCAACAATATCTGTACCTAGCATGTAAAGAACAGGACACTTAGTGCGTCCTGGTGAGGTTGGTTTTAAGAAATTGTGGTATCTATATGGGGGTCTCTGTGACGGAACTGCCCTCTGCCACAATGTATACTTGCAAAGACTTCCTATGTAATGGGGACATTTCATATTCAAACAGTCAGACACATGCTGTTTTTTAATAGCCTTTATTGATTGTTAGTGTTTATGCTGGAAAGCTGAAGTTGAATGGTGAAGAAGAGCAAACCTGCAAGGGAAAAAAAAAGAGAAAAAAACTTAATGTTGAATATGAACGGTTTCATTTATAAAAGTGTTAAGAGTTAATGTTGCTTGCTTTAGCAATTTAACTAAACAGTTTAAGCACTGTTATATTTCTGAACACTTGGGGAAGTCAAGAAAGTTTTAACTGAGCAACTAAATGAAATAAGAAGGCAAAAGTACTTACCTGTGAATAGATTCCAGAGGAAGGTAGCCATGTTTTCATCCAGGGAGGAAAACAGTAGCCTTTGTCTGGTGAGTTTTTATAGTGAACTCCCCGCGACGTCACACAACTTCCTGTTTAGCTCTATAAAAGCCCTAGAGGGCGCAGAGTGAGCTAGTCGAGTGGAGAAGTTAATGAAATGTGGTTGGAGCCCAAAGAACGCAGAAATTTTGATTGAATAAGAGGCTTCATACTAAGTTATATATATTTGTAAATACTGAGTTTCATTTATTTTCTTTTCCTTTTTTGCACTGGATAAATCACATTTTTTTGTTTGTTTGTTTGTTTTCTTCACTGAGAGTCAATAAACACCTACTTTTGCACCTAACCTGAAACATACCCGCGTGTCTTTTCCACCGGACCATCACAGTCTCAATGAAAATTTTAGTAGGACCCTGATCCCCAACACCCCAATATCTGCACATATTTATTTAGTATTGTCATTATATATTATATTGTCATTATATCTATCCATCTATCTATCTATCTATCTATCTATCTATGTATCTATCTATGTATCTATCTAACACATTCTGAAATCACCATTATGCTCATCCTCTCATGGGTTATTGCTTTAGTTTAACCCTCGCACCATGATTATTCTTTATGAATCCATTACCAGTTTTGGTGCATTCAATGCTAATGTGACATCCATGTACATGAGCTATAAAACAGTGCTTTTGCACATGGAAATACCAGTATGTGTTTACATGTGAGAACAAAGAGGTTCTTATAAGGACACTGAGCTGGTGTTGAGCTGATGCTGATTCTTGTAAATGAACAGTAACTTTAGAATGCATTCACATGTCAGTATGACATCTGGAGCCTTTAGCTGTAAAACAAGTTGTTTGTCTTTTCTTTATGTGGGAATACAGTGATGTGGAAATTCGTGGTGAGTGCCACGAAAATAGGTACACATTGTAGTTCTACAATTACAGACTGTGGTCCATCTGTTTCTATAAATAATGCGTATGCTGTTCATCAATGGTCAGGACTCCTACAGAACTACCACAGAGCAGGTATCATTTGGGTGGTGGATCATTCTCAGCACTGCGTTGACTCTGACGTGGTGTGGTGTTGTGCTAGTGTGTCTTGCGCTGGTATAAGTGGATCAGACACAGCAGTGCTGCACACAGTATCACTGCTGGACTGAGAATAGTCCACCAACCATAAATTTCCAGATTCGTGTGGGCAGCGTCCTGTGACCACTGATGAAGGACTAGAGAATGACCAACACAGAGGGCTATCATCATTGACTTCACGTCTACAAGGTGGACCAACAAGATAGGAGTGTCTAATAGAGTGGGCAGTAGGGTGCACACAGTGTTTAAAAATTCCAGCAGAAACTACAGGATGTAGAAAGAAGGTAGGCTTACCTAATAAAGAGAGTGAATGTATCTGTTTGTGAGAACAAAGAGATTCTGTTAAGTTCTTTGTCAAGAACCTTTGAACAAATGCTGCATTTGAGTGAGGCAGATGTTGAAATGCTTAGCTTTAAGACCTAGAATGAGCAAAAACGTTTCAGTATGTATTTCAATAAGAAATAGAAATAAAACTCAAATGTTCATGGATCAAACAATTAGAAGGGGAAGATTTGCAAACTTACTTCAAGATAGTTTGACAAAGCCAATGTTATAGAATCCCAGATAGTTACTAAGGTATTTCTAGGTTGTTGGTAAGGTATCCCAGCTTTTTACCAGGCTGTAGCTTTTTTTATCTCAGGTGGTTGCCAAGATGTTTAGAGGCCACTGGATTGGAATCCCAGGTAGTTACTAATGTGTTGGTAGACATGTGTCACGTACACCAAGAGAACAGTGCAGGCCTAAATGCTTCACCTCTACAGTGATGGGGTCCAGGGGCTTGGTTATACTTTGGGACTTTTTTGGCAGTTTGGCTCCACTTGTCCACTTAGAGGGAAGGATCTTCAAATACATACAAATTTATTCTGACTGGTCATCTTTATCCCATAATGGAATATTTCTATCCTTAAGGGAGTGATCTCTAACTCCTGAAGGGAGTGGTCTTTTCCTCATGAAGGTAGTGGACTCTATCTCATGATGGAAGGGGTCTCTTCTTCCTGAAGGGAGTGATCTAGTCCTGCTGCAGGCAGTGGTCTCTTCTTCCTGGTGGGAAGGGTTTGGAGAAGTCTCTTGCTTATGATGAGAGGGGTCTCATCCTCCAGATGGAAGGTGTCTCTTCAACCTGAAAGAAGTGGTCTGAAATGATCATCTACAAACAGTATTTTGAGTGGTCGCTTTGTCTTATATTACATTTTGTAGGAAGATCTGAATTTCAAACGGCAAATATGAAAAAAATAGAGAAAATCATGAGGGGGCAAATACTTTGTCACAGCATTGTATACATAAGTTATTGCCTGTTTAGTGTGCTGTTCAATGCCATGAGTGTAGCAGAGAAAAACTGCCTATTCATTTCTCAAAACAGGCTTACATAAAATCAGACTGTGAAGTTTCCACAGATGCCTATTAAACTTCTTGAACTGAATTAAACTGAATTAAACACACAGAGAACACTGACCTGAGAAAAGAAGGATGATAGAAATCCATTTCTGGTCCATTTCTGGTGGAAAAAAAGGAGAAATAGTTTGGGTTTTTATATATTTAGATTATGTTTGTGAACTAACATTAGTAAGGTTTTAGTAATATAGATGTGAACACATTATTATCTAAAAATACTCCAATATTCTCCAATATTCCAATAATTTCCCATAAAAACATGAAATGTAAGTATATGAAGTCAGTTAATATAAATATACATAATTGTATCTCTCTCTTCTCTCTGTATATCTCTGTCTCTTTTTGACCCCTCCCACTTCTGTCATATGCAGCCCTGAGAACTGATGTCATCAGCAACAGGAAACATTTAGTTTACAGTTTCAGTGGCCGAACATAATTTGCATGAGTTTCGTCAACACACGGTCAACAACAACAACCTGCAACACCTCTGACCTCTGTTTAGGCCCAACAGAGCAGCTCTGGTGTTATTAACGGTTAACGTGAAGAGACCAGATCTGCTGACATGAAAAATCAATAAAATATTTTTTTAAAAATCTTTGTATGGGGACCCTGAAAAATATTCATTTTGTTTTTTTTGTTTTTTTTTATTTTACATTAGAAAATCTGGTTCCTCATAATATACAGATTAACTCATCTACATTGGCTGTTATTCATACTTTTATGGAGCTGCTTTGTGCACAGGGGCTCCGTCATGCTGGAACAGGAAAGGATCTTCCCCAAACTGTTGCCACAAAGTGTGAAGAATATAATTGTCTAAAATGTGTGCTGAACCATTAACATTACACTTTACCTGAACTAAGGGGCCCAAACCCTGAAAAACAGCCCCAGCTCATTATCCCTCCTCCACCAAACTTTCCTGTGGGCACTATGTATTCCTGTAGGTAGCGTTCTCCTGACATCCACCAAACTCAGAGTCATCCATCAGACTGACAGATGATTCATGATTCATCACTCCAGAGAACACGTTTCCACTGCTCGCGAGTCCAGTAGCAGCGCTTTACACCACTCCAGCCGACACTTGGCATTGCGCTTTGTGATCTTAGGCTTGTGTCCAGCTGCTCGATCATAGATACTTATCTCATGAAGCTCCTGACACACAGGTCTTGTTCTAATGTTGAATTCACAGGCAGTTTGGATCTCTGTAGTCAGTGATGAAACCGAGGACAGACGATTTTTATGTGCTGTGTACTTCGGAATTAATCAAGCCCGCTCTGTAAGTTTGTATGGTCTACCACTTTGTGGCTGCACTGTTTTGCTCCTCAATGCTCCCATTTCCTTTTTAGATCTAGCAGGGCAGGTCATGAAATGACCTTTGGGAAAGGTGGCATCCTATAACAGTACCACTTTTAAAGCCTGTTCTACTGCCAGTGTTCATCTACAGAGACTGCATAGCCTTGTACCTGATTTTACACAGCTTTAAGCAATGGGTGGCTGAAACAACTGAACTCAATTCTAAGCCTGGTTGTTTCTTGTTATGCCCTGTTGTATTTTGACCCTTGCCTGTGGTTTTTGGTCTTTGAGTTTTGGACATAATATTGGATTTGGTTGCATTGAACATTCGATTTTTAGTCTTTGGCCAATGACATTTGAAATGACCCAGTTTGAAAAAACATTGCTTGCAACTGGATCCTGCTCACAGAGTAACACTGTGTCAGTTGTGTCAGTATCTATATGGGTGTCCCAATAAAGAGCCCCAGGGCGACCCCCCCACCCCCACCTGTAATTATACCAATGAAGCAGGGCATTATATTACAACAAAAAAACCTCATCAACAATGTTTCCAACCACATCCTTTACCTGTGCTAAAACCACTGTAGTGCTATATTTTAAACCTGCCACTGATCATTTTCATTTACAAATCCATCACCAATCAGCCACGTTTTCAATTCATCCAAATTCCAACATGACATCCAGGAACATGAGGTATAAAACCAGGGAAACACCCGAGAGCTGAGTTTACGTCAACTGCGCATGTTTTGCATGGGTTCACATGCGAAGGTCTTTCAGCACAAAGACATCCAGCACATCCAGCTGAACAGGAAATTCAGACTGAGACGGAAAATGTTTCACTTTAATCACAACTGAAACAAAGCAGCCCTTAAAAGCATATTAACACATACAGTACACATGCTATACAAAATTAGGGACATCTTGTGGTCATATGCTGGTAGTACATCATATTCATACTGTGTTGTAGCAGAAATTTGCATAAAGAGAAATATTAAGAGGAAAACTCTGACATAAAACTGATGTTTGTCATGTCCGTGTTCAGTACAACAATATTGTATCTCTCAGTCTCAGTGTTTTGACAGGATTTATACATTTATATTGTTTTCACCTCATCAGATTTTTGCATTATAATACCCAGCAAGACAGTTCAGTACAGTTCGAAAGGTCATATGACTGCAATAAAATACACAGATTCCTGACAGTAGCAGGTCTGGCTTCCTTGTTCAAGCCGTAGCGTCTTTCTACATTAGTCCAATGGCAGTAGCCAGTGCAGAACCCAGCAAATACAGCCAGTATAAAGTACTAATCTCAGTAGCTTTTCATAATATCATCTTTTCAGGATGTCTTCAGACATATTCAACCTTAATAAACGTATAAACACTCTGTTATTTAGCAAATGTAAACCTGATGAAGCTGTAGATCTGCTGAAGCTGGACACAGAAGAGGGACCACAGCTGGTTTCAGTCTATATTGTCGGAAAGAAAAAACAAATGAGTGTTTAATATACAGTCAAGATGAATATTCAGGCACCACACACAGTAACTAACCTTCATAGGTTGTGCAGATGAAGTTGAGTTTCTGGTCCTCAGGCAGGCTGACCCACTGCTGACCTCCTCTGGACTGCACCGATCCGGTTCTCTCTACAGAGCTGCAGTCTCCTCCTCCTGTCCCGTTACCTGGAGCCCAGTTCTGGTAGCAGACGGAAAAGCCACTCACCCAGTACCAGAAACCCTGAGTGCACGTGTGACGCAGACCCAGCCACACAAGTTCAGTGGAGGCTTTCTGTGCCACCACCTTCACCCAGAGCTGGATCTCCTCAGAGAGAACTGAGACCAGATCCACATGATTATCTCTGCAGTATCTCAGAGCTTCTCTCCAGGTCAGATTCTGATTGATCAAGATCAGCTTATCAGCTTATAAGTAGAAAAAGGAAAATTTATTAGTGTATAGATTAGACAATTTAGTATCGTACAGCTTTCTGAGGAAGTTTTGCATTTATAAAAAAAGGCAATAAACACAAAAACATTTCATTAAAATGTAATTGATTAAGTTGGTTTAAAAAATAAAAGACCACATTGTTGAATAAATAAAACATGACTCACTCTCAAAGCAGATGAATGGCAACTTGTTTTGGCAGTTCAAATCAGACCAGTGACCCTGGTCAGTCATAGACACTGCAGCACACTTCTCATTTCCACCCTGATTATCTGGCTGGTTAGGTGCCCAGTATCTGAATGAGGAGTCACTCTGATCTGACCACTTCCAGGAGTCATTAAACAGACCAATCCAAACATCTGGACTGATTGAATATTTTACCAAATTCCAGATCTTCTGGTTCTCAGTCTGGTTCCTCACACTGACTAGGTCTGTGTAACGTTCTCTGCAGTAGGTCTGAGCATCACTCCAGCTCTTTGACTCATTAATGAGTACGTACCTCCCAGTGGTGTTCTTGTTTTCTGAAAGATATTAAAGTTACATTAATAATAAAATTATAATATTAACTGTGTGTAAAATTCTGCCTTTAGAATCCACAAAAAAATGATACACAGCTAACAGCCGGTCAGGCTGTAATGATTTACAGACTCATCTTTGATGATGTCACTCTTTAACATGTGTCCAGGTGTTCTTACCATTATAACATAAAAAAGGTTTTGGTTTTGTACAGACATCATCATTCCAGGTTCCATCACTTTTATACATCCCAACGCAGAACTCCCCCGCCCCCATCCAGTTGTTTGGTTCTCCAGGTAACCAGTTTCGGTACAGGCTTCCCTCACTGCTTGCCAGAGACCACAGCCATTTCCCAGTGACCCCTCTGACTAGGCCGATCCACACAGGGCAGCAGGGTTTGTCTTTCAGATTGTTGTTCAGAGTAGCATTCAGCTTCTTCATCTCCTCCATGTTGTTGATGGTGGCCAGATCAGTGTAGGTCTGTCTGCAGTAGCTCTGAGCTTCAGTCCAGGTTTTACCCTCATTCACAAAGTGATACCGATGAGGAACGTATGCAGATACACCACAGACAGCTGTGAAGAACATGTTAGAGAGAAATAACTGAACACATACTTGAATAATGTACATCTCTCATACCAGAATAAGTATGAGGTATCAAGGATGGGCACAATATCATATCATATGGGCAGGCATTTCTCTTTCTGGGAAGGTTCATTCATTCATGTTGTTGTTCATATTATTAGCCTTTTTTATATAAAAAGTATATTTTGTATTTTTGCATATTTATCACATATAGTTGTTTAGATATTTAAACGAAATGCTACATAAGACAAATCCATCCTAAGGAAACACACAAATATAGTTTTTAAGAAAAAAAGTTATACAACTCCAATCAGCCCTGTATGAATAGGTTACTCAATCAACCAATTAAACCAGATTAATTGATAAGTTATATCAATTAAACTCAACACACCCAGCCGTGCTTAATCTAAACATCACCTAAACCTTTTTCTAGATTAAAAGGTCTCAACAAGGAGCACACTTTGTCAAGAAAATGATAGAAATATATCAGTCTGGAAAGGCTAACAGAAAAGTGGGCCAAAATTCCTCCACATTGATGTGAAAGACTGATGTCCAGCTATGAAGCGTTTGTCTGCAGTTGTTGCTGCTAAAGGTGGTACAAACGGTTATTTTAGGGGCAGTTACTTTTTCAGACAGGAAAGTACAGATGTTAGAAATCTTTTTTTTTCCTTCAATAAATGAAACGATCATCTACAAACAGTATTTTGAGTGTTCGCTTTGTCTTATATTACATTTTGTAGGAAGATCTGAATTTCGAGTGGCAAATATGAAAAAATAGAGAAAATCATGAGGGGCAAATACTTTGTCACAGCGCTGTACACATCAGTTATTGCCTGTTTAGTGTGATGTTCAGAACTATATCATGATTGTAGCAAAGAAAAACTGCCTGTTTATTTCTGGAATCAGGCTTCCATAAAATCAGGACTCTGAAGTGTCCACAGTGTCCATTTAATGAATTAAACTGAATCACCCTTAAACACACAGAGCACACTGACCTGAGAAAAGAAGGATGATAGAAACCCATTTCTGGTCCATTTCTGATGGAAAAAAGGAGAAATAGTTTTTGTAGATTATATTTGTGAACATCACTTCACTAACATATGGCTTTAGTAATATTGATACAAACACATTATTATCTAAAAATACTCCAATATTCTCCAATATTCCAATAATTTCCCATACAAACATGAAATGTAAGTATATTATAAATATGTCTGTTATGTATGATGTGTATGTGAAGTGAGTAAATGTAATTCCTACCTGAGTGTTTGTTGTTCTGTTTTTTAATCCAATTTGTGAAAATCTTCTTGACGAACACGTCTCCTCCTCCTCTCCTTCTGAGTCTGTATCTCTCTGTCCTCTCTGTATGTCTGTCCTCTTTAACCCCTCCCACCTCTGTCATATTCAGCCCTGAGAACTGATGTCATCAGCAACGGGAAACATACAGTTCACAGTTTCAGTGGCTGAACACATTTTGCATGAGTTTCATCAACACATGGTCAACATCAACAACCTACAACCCCACTGACCCCTTTGTAGGCCCAACAGAGCAGCTCGGGTGTTATTAAAGGCAAATGTGAAGGGGCCAGATCTGCTGATATGAAATAAATAATTTTTTTAAACCTTGGTAACTCTTAGTTAACTCATCTACATTGGCTATTAATAATACTTTTATGGAGCCGCTTTGTGCACAGGGGCTCAGTCATGCTGGAACAGGAAAGGGTCTTTCCCAAACTGTTGCCATATAATTGTCTAAAATGTGTGCTGAACCATTAACATTACACTTTACCTGAACTAAGGGGCCCAAACCCTGAAAAGCCCCAGCTCATTATCCCTCCTCCACCAAACTTTCCTGTGGGCACTATGTATTCCGGTAGGTAGCGTTCTCCTGACATCCACCAATCTCGGATTCATCCATCAGACTGACAGATGATTCATGATTCATCACTCCAGAGAACACGTTTCCACTGCTCGCGAGTCCAGTAGCAGCGCTTTACACCACTCCAGCCAACGATTGGCATTGCGCATTGTGATCTTAGGCTTATGGATCATAGATACTCATGAAGCTCCTGACACACAGGTTATGATCTGATGTTGCTTTCACAGGCAGTTTGGATCTCTGTAGTCAGTGACGAAACTGAAGACAGGCAATTTTTATGTGTTATGTGCTTCAGAATTAAGCAGGCCTGCTCTGTAAGTTTGTATAGTCTACAGCAGAGGTCACTAATAGGCGGCCCGCGGTCTGAGTCCAGACCCAGACGCTGTCCTATGCGGACTTGGACCTATAACCGATAAACTATGGAGAATGATTTCATTTCGACGGGGTGGTCCTATTTTAATCTGTGTAGCTTTTCTAGTCATTACGGTACCCGTTTAGTGGCCCGGGAGACTCGCAGACCAATCACATGCATTGTAAATATCATGCGTGACACTACTCAGCCAATCAGATCTGTGCATTATGATGAGCACTGAGGCTTGAGTGAGTGATGCACACACAGGGGAGGGACGAGGCGAGAAACAGCAGTCAGAGAAGAAAGTGAATCAGAGGGAAGTTATTTCACATGGCGTTCTCTAAAAGGAGAAAATGGACAGTAAATGTTGTTGAAATATTACTGAACCGTAGTTTATTTGATTTGACATTCAGTTGTTGACTGTATAAGATGTTGATATACCTACTGGGCTACTTCAATAAACAGTATATGGCACTAAATCATAATGCAAGGTAGACATTATGATGTTCTGGACCTTTGCTTGAGGAAATTTTCTTTAACTGGACCTTATTGAATTTTAATTAAAGACCCCTGGTCTAAAGTGGCTGAGCTGTGTTGCTCTTCGATGCTCCCACTTCCTATTTAGATCTAGCAGGGCAGACATGTCATGAAATAACTTTTGGGAAAGGTGGCATCCTATAACAGTACCACTTTTAAAGCCTGTTCTACTGCCAGTGTTCATCTACAGAAACTGCATAGCCTTGTCCCTGATTTTACACAGCTTTAGGCAATTGGTGGCTGAAACAACTGAACTCAATTCTAAGCCTGGTTGTTTCTTGTTATGCCCTGTTGTATTTTGACCCTATGCCTGTGGTTTTTGGTTTTTGAGTTTTGGACATAATATCGGATGTGGTTGCATTGAACTTTTTTATCTGACTGTCTTTGGCCTACGACATTTGAAATGAGCCAGTTTGAAAAAAAGATTGCTTGCAGCTGGATCCTGCTCAGTATCTATGTTTTCAATTCATCCAAATTCCAACGTGACATCCAGGAACATGAGGTATAAAACCAGGGAAACACCCGAGAGCTGAGTTTACGTCAACTGCGCATGTTTTGCATGGGTTCACATGCGGAGGTCAGTCAGCACAAAGAGGCTCTTACAGGCTAATTTGCACAAAAAGTTTGAGCTGATGCTGCTTCATCCAGCTGAACAGGAAATTCAGACTGAGACGGAAAATGTTTCACTTTAATCACAACTGCAACAAAGCAGCCCTGTGACAACATCCTGCTATACTGATTTCAACTGAACTAAATAAACTTTATTTATTCCGTTAATTACAGTATCAGCATGTGTTCGATACAGAATAGAAATATACCTGAAAACTATATAGGTGCACTTTGTAGCTCTACAGTTACAGACTGTAGTCCATCTGTTTCTCTGCATACTTTGTTAGCCCCCTTTTACTCTGTTCTTCAGTGGTCAGGACCCCCATGGACCCTCACAGAGCAGGTACTATTTGGGTGGTGGATCATTCTCAGCACTACAGTAACACTGACGTGGTGGTGGTGTGTTAGTGTGTGTTGCGCTGGTATGAGTGGATCAGACACAGCAGTGCTGCTGGAGTTTTTAAACACTGTGTCCACTCACTGTCCACTCTATTAGACACTCCTACCTTGTCGGTCCACCTTGTAGATGTAAAGTCAGTGACTGCTGCTGCACTATTTGTGCTGGTTATCCTCTAGTCCTTCATCAGTGGTCACAGGACGCTGCCCACAGGACGTTTTGCTAGGTGAGGTTAGGTCCACTTGTCCACTTAGAGGGAAGGATCTGCACATCAACTGAAAGTTATTTTGACTGATCGCCTTAATTACATTATGGTACATTTCTATCCTGAAGGGAGGAGTCTCTTCTACCCTAATAGAGAGGCCTCTATAGAGAATATATAGAGAATATCCCTCCAGTACTGATTGCCATGGCACATTGAAGCTGATTTTAATGGTATCTACAGATCTCTGAAGTCATTTTGTAGACAAGGTAACAAGGCAGGTTCCCATAATTAAAAGCAAACCCCAAAATAATGACTAAAAAACTGCTTGGAGCGCAGTTTTAAAAGTTTTTTTTCTTGAATGTTTTAATATAGTTTAGACTTATTAGGACTGGCAGTGTACAAGTAAGCATGTCTATCAGAGGGGAACCTTCAGGGCCTTCTAGGCCTTCAGAATAGATGACTTCAAGAACTGAAGAGACAGAGAAATTAGCCCAATCATGTTTGGTTTCCCATAGATGGGACCAGTTTTGCGAGGAAAATGCCATTACAGACCATCTGGAAGTTTTAGATACATCACTGACTGAATATGAGGGGCGGTTTAATCAGTGAGTTGTTAGAAATGGAAAACAGCAGCAGGAGCTCTAGACCAGCGTTCACTACTCAAAGAGTCACTGCTACAATGTGAAAAATATGCTAATATGACGGTCATAAGCTCCAAGTAAAACTTGGAATATCTTGCTTAATGTAGAACTGCCTTTAACATTTCCTTTCCACCTTAAACAGTGCAGCAGTTACATTCTGGGGCATTTAGAAGGGTGTTTTGTATCGTGTATTGAAATTAATCTTTTTTTTAAATTGGAACTGAGGAAAAATTACGTATTTATAAATGAATTATAAAAATATACAGACAAAAATACAGTATAAAAATGTATCCATAAGCAAACACATAGAGAAAGGTGCTGCATCACAGTGTTTCGTGGCAGAGATAAATGTTACAGTACATTGTCTATAGATTGTGGTTTTCTATTCAACTGTACAGACTAACTGGAGTCAAGACATTCATGTTGAAACATGTTAAGACATTTAATGTAGTTGAGTATTTTCTGTGCTGTGCTGAAACACCAGGTCAACAGCACCCATCTATTCTGAAAGGCTCTCTAACTTTTCATTGGTTGTATATTTTAAAATATTTGTATATTTTAAATTTTGTTTTCTAAGGCCTGCATATGTCATTATGAGATTTGCCCATCTGCACGCAGAAATTCGGTGACATGAAAATTTGTGATGAGTGTTCATGCTTTGCATTTGTTTATATGTTTTTCGGCACATAATGTAAGTGAAGACAGACGTTTTTATACTGATCTCAGTACATGTTTTGCAAGGTACATGCTTGGAGACAAAGACAGAGGTTCATAAGAGGTTCAGTGTAAAGGGTCTATGGCATTACCTGGTCCAGGGCACCACCAGTTTAAAGGTAATAAAGCCTCTATGGCGGGAAACAGCCTATGGCACTAACTGGCTTATGGCAATGAAGTTTGCGAGGCATTAAAGTGTGTATGGCACTAATAGGGTTATAAGCCTATTAGTGCCGTAGACCCAGTAATGCCGGAGAAGGGTTATAAGCTTCTCTGGCATTACTGGGTCTATGGCACTAACAGCCTTTTAGTAAATAAGCTCTTATGGCTACCAAGCATGATTCTTAACACTTATGGCAAATCTTAAGTTATACAACAGTTTGTTCTGGCCACACAAGCTGATTGGTTGAGAAGCGTTTTTTTTGACAAACACTGTATAACTCCGCTGAGATGCTGTTGCTAAGCAACAACTTTGACAGCTGTAGGAGACGCTCCAGCCATTTGAACGTTTTTACTTCTTACTTTGCCACAAACAGAAAATGGACACTTTTAAGATCACATTTGACTGACAGCTGATTTGGTCAGACTCTAAAGATGAGACTACACTAAATTCCCAAACTGTCATCACCACTGAGCAGCTTTTCAGTCGGCAGCTGAGACAGAAGAACAGCTAAACAACCTGGAATCAGCCAGAAATGAACCCAACACCATTCGCCAAACTAAATGGGCTGTAAGATGCTTTACAGACTGGCTGGAACAAAACAACATTAATATTCATCTGGCAAAAACTGACAAAACTGAGCTGAACTTGATAATGTGGCAGTTTTATGGCTCAGTCTGATTTGGTCAGACTCTGAAGATCAGACTACACGTTTGGCAAATGGTATTTCACGATAACACACAAATTCGAGTGTTATATTGCTTAATTAACATGTCTACAGACTACACAACACACTTGTGCACAGTTTAAGGCACAGTTACTGTTTAATTGCTTTTATATGTGCATTTAGTGCATAATTTCTATT